CGCCCATTCTGTTGCGAAGTGAATTTTTAATAATATTCATGGCGGAAAATGCTCTTTTCACTGAAGCAGTTGCAAGGTCCCTTTTGTAGATATGCTCTTCTGATCTCAGCTCAAATATTAGGACTATAATCCGCCATTCGAGTTCTTAGTCCAGGGTCTGCCTGAAGATTAGCTAATATTTCATCTACTTCAATTGGTCTTGCATTTGAACTACCCGGATTAGACGGAGAAGAACTATCCGTAGATAATTTTCTTTTAAAGAATCGTTCCATAAATCTACAAATCAATTAATTCAATCAATCAATAATTTTTACCCAAATTATCATATGAACATGAAAATATCAATAACTCACTCTCAATATTCAATATGCCCTCTAAACCCATATCAACCAATATTCAATATATCAAATTATCATATCAAATATCAATCAATATTCAATATACTCAATAAAGCATAAACTCAATCAATCTATTACCCATCAATATTACCCCCTAAACCCATATCAATCAATCTATTACCCATCAATATTACCCCATAAACCCATATCAATCAATATTCAATATCTACCAAATTATTATATCAAATATCAATCAATATTCAATATACTCAATAAAGCATAAACTCAATCAATCTATTACCCATCAATATTACCCCCTAAACCCGTATCAATCAATCTATTACCCATCAATATTACCCCCTAAACCCATATCAAATTATTTTCCATCAAATATTACCCATCAATATTACCCCCTAAACCCATATCAATGCCTGAAGATTAGCTAATATTTCATCTACTTCAATTGGTCTTGCATTTGAACTACCCGGATTAGACGGAGAAGAACTATCCGTAGATAATTTTCTTTTAAAGAATCGTTCCATAAATCTACAAATCAATTAATTCAATCAATCAATAATTTTTATCCAAATTATCATATGAACATGAAAATGTCAATAACTCACTCTCAATATTCAATATGCCCTCTAAACCCATATCAACCAATATTCAATATATCAAATTATCATATAAAATATCAATCAATATTCAATATACTCAATAAAGAATAAACTCAATCAATCTATTACCCATCAATATTACCCCCTAAACCCATATCAATCAATCTATTACCCATCAATATTACCCCCTAAACCCATATCAAATTCAATATCTG